ACATGTAAACTATTTGTTTATTAGCATCGCCTGAGTCATGTTTTAGTCGGAATTTTAGCTCAGCTGCCGTTTAGTATACCGCGGTGACGATTAATGTGTTCTATACTTTATCTGCATGTCGTGATAACTTAATTAACGCTTTAAAATTCCCGGTACTAAAATGAGAACGGAAGTGAAAATATCGGTATCAGTATTGGTATTAGCATTGGAAGTCGAACTTAAACTCTCTATTATTGAGTAAATAAACATAGTGCATGGCGACATTCTGTGCAGCTGAATAAAACTTAGTCTGCGCACAGACTGTTCCTTCCGTGGTGGAAACTCTTCAGGAGGTTTATGCAAATGATCAGTATTCAGGTCTTGCATTATGAAATATCATAAAAAATAATCCGTCATTGTGCGTGGCAAAAATCTATTCAACCCACTACTGAACAGCTGTGGTCAAACAAAAGGGACAGCGTGCGAGTCAGTGCCACACAGTCTTGATTTGATCACACCATGTTTTTACGAAATTTTTCCGATTTTGACTTATAAATAAATGTGGTAGTTGGAAAGTACAAACAAAAACTAAACATTAATACACGCGCCAGATACTATTTGAATGGTGTACTACAAGGTGCAGTTTTGTTTAAAAAAATGTGTAAATATTTCGTCATCGCCATGCTTTCAAATGTTTACATGTTGTCGCACCAAAGCGGGATATTAATAAGAGGGATCAGTAAACCGTTATGAATACAGAAATAATTCACCCACTCAGGTGAGGCAAGCTTACCGGCGAACCAAACTGAGATAAACAGACCTTATAACGGGAAAGGAATGCTTGGCTTGAGAGGCAGTTCTAATCGACATCCCTCATAAGCTTTGTAACTTTGTTTGAATTTCAATAGACAGCACCTCAAATTATTTCCTTTTTTCCATATCTTGTCCATATAACAAGCAAATTAACGAATCGACCTCTAACATACCTGCCGCATTGGTGATACAAGCAGGAGAACTGCATGTTTCAGGTGACGAATCTGTAGATTCCGTATCCTTGCGCTCTACAACATACAGAGCAATGAAGACTACGCACAGAATAAGCAGCAGTAGCAATAAAATAAGGAGAACGAATTGTACTTTGGAAGGCTTCCGTGTTTCAGTTTCCTGAACAGTATTTTCACCAGGAATAAAATGCTCCATATCAGTTTATTATTTAAAACGCGCTCTTTGTCGACCATGTCCCAATATTTATTATTTAATTGTTTGTTATGTAAATATATCAGCCAGTATTTACCACTCCTCCTCCCCTTGAAACGAAAACCACCATCAAATCCTCACCGAATAACCTTTTGAACGGGGGTCAAGTGCCGTCAAAACATTGCACAAACCAAACAATCATGTTACACAAACCAAAAAAATCATGCATTTATTTACCCTTGGCCAAACCCTTCGGAATTTGCTGGAAGTGAATATGAGTAAACAGTACTCTTAGGCGGAGCTTAGCATTCAAGCGCTTTGATGTGGTAAGTTTCGTTTGAAATTTTGAAAACAGCGGTTGAGTTCAAAATATCGGGTTTTACCCGCACGCACGTGCCGCGCACTATACTTGACCAATAAGGAACGCCCGTAGCAGAATACACGTCAAATCACGTGTCAATCAACTGTCTAGTTGTGTATTGTGGTACCTTGACCTTCAGAATCGATTTCCGATGCTTCCAGTACAAGCATCTCATTGTTTGGACATTTTCCCCGAGCCGACGGCTCGAAGGGCCGTGCGAGGGTACTAATTCCCACCGGCTATTTACACCCGGGGAAACGAAAGCATTAGCGAAGTCTAAAGTTCATCAATTATCGCGGGCGTGGGTCACCAACTGTGGGTGGTCATCCTCACTGATCTCAAAAATATGGCGGACTGTCATGAATAGCGGACACTGATTGAATTATAATGACTGCATGACGACAGCGAAATAGCAAACATTTCTTCATTTCATGGTAAAATTTTGTAAATTTCAAAAGGTTTCTCAAAAAAGAAGGGCGAAAGAATCGGCTAAAAGAAGGGAGCCGACGTCAATGAAGGCAAGTTTGTGTTAAATATTGATTTTATAATGACTTTAAAACCCGACGGCCTTTGCGTATATGAAACAACTATCACAAGACAGCATATAATTTCAGTGCATCTTTAATAATATTGATTCTCTTTTTTATTATATTAAATTTTTTGAATAAAAAAGAAAGCAAAGTCATTTGCAAGCGAGAATTTGAAATCATTTTATTGCAAACTCAAAGTTTATCGATAAAGCGATTTAATTAAAGGCAGTTTATAAAGAACACTTTAAAACGTTTTGGGAAGCGTTTGTGGTTGAATTTTACCTTAAATTGAAGCTTATATTACGTATAATAACATACCTAACATATATGTGTTGGAAAATTGATAATTTTGTAATTAAAAGTGATATTTTTAGGCGATTTTTCATTTGTAGGCTAAGAATATTCTTAAAAATTATCGTGTTACCATGACAACTACTTTAGATACTTCATGTTCGGAAAATATACAATGGTTTTGTCAGCAAGGCGAGGGTTTCTGCGTGCATATGTATTTTCTAGTAAAATTGTATTGCGGTTGAAATTAGTTCAGACTCGGACCAGAAATATAAATATGATAATAAAAGATGGATTCTTGAAGCTACAAGTTTGAAAATAACACTGCACATAGTGTTTTGGATATTGCGTTGAACAAGACTATTACAAAGAGGATACGTCGCAATGGGCCAAAGTTGTGATTGGCGAAATTTATTAAAGGTGTGAGTAATTTGATATTATACGATCTCACTTGACTTTCAAAGGCCATACATGTCATAAATCACTACAATTGTTAGGAATTAGGAGATATTGTTTCAATGAATCGTATTTTTGTCTTCATATTATACGTAGCGACCCGAACATATGAACCTTCAGAGTCGGATGGCCATGGCTTTTCGTCATTCAAACACTGGCCATAGTTGACAAGGAGCCAAATTAATCTTCAATTCCACGGCAGAGGAATGCGTATGGCTTCTCTGCTTATTTTTTAAACTGTCAATTTCGGGCGCAAACAGTGTTGACTTTATATTTGCATATACATACATAGACGCCATAAAAGACGTCATGTAAGACGTCAGGTCATAATTGAAGTCATAGGTGCCATGTGTACAAGTCATGAAAAAATAGATACGCTAGGCGTGCGTACATGTATCTGCGCAAAGGAATTCCATGGTTGTTATGAAAAAGTTTCATTTACAATTATTGAGTAAACATTTATATTCCTAAGTGCTATTTAGTAAACTGGTGGCTATACAGTATAGTGACCAAAAAAAGCTAAGTCAGACAAAAGACAACCTGACCCGGACTGCGTTTCACTTTCCGCACGCAGCGCCTATACCGTGTACTCGGCAAGCTTTGTAAAAGGTAGCACAAACACAACTTTTTTATATTAAACTATAGTCACTATATAACCGGCAGTTTACTAAATACCCGGCTGCCGGCTGTATAGTCACTTTGTTTATATTTGATATGACAAAGAATGTTCAGATTGCAGTCTCTTCTCTACTGCAATCAACTACTGTCAGAAAGCCACCATTGTTTATAATAAAAACAGAACGTATTGTTTGACGTTACCGATCAAAATATTGAAAATAAATATTGTTGCGACATACAAACACTCGAAAATAAACATTTGGTAGTAAAAATTGGAAATTCTAATTTTTATTAAATGGCCAGGAATTACATTAACTATCCATACCAGATCCTCGCGTTCTCTTCTCAGAGGATCGTACGCTTGGTGAACGAGATTGCTCATTAGAGAGGTTAAGACATCCCGATTCCGGTTTACGGGTACGGGTACCCGCAATGGGCCAAAGTTGTGTTTGGCGAAATGTATTAAAGGTATGAGTAATTTGATATTATACGATCTCACTTAACTTGTACGTACCCGCACCCGTAAATTGGGGAGTAAGTTGAGTAACGTGTAACTTAAGAAATGCAAGATACTCTGGCGTAACAAAACCGATCAGAAAATGGTAAGTTTCGCTGTTGAGGTTCGCCATAAATTGTTGAAAACTTTGACGAGCATATGTGCATTATTTATTTGGGTAAGACTGTTGAAAATTTTTACTATTTAAACGGCCCACAAATAGTAAACAGAAAACACCCGTACCCGTTTGTCTTTTACGTGTAGACCATGGTTTACCGCGGGAAAACGGGTAGAAATTATCGGTAAAAATGCTGACATCAGCAAAAGTTGGTAAACAAAATGGCGATACTCGTATCCGTAAACCGGAACCGGGGTATATTAACCTCTCTCGTATTGTACTCGTGCGACCAAAGGCCTGTCATGAGTAATAAATTGTCTGATACTAACACAACTGTACTATTGTTCGAACAATCAGAAAATAGTCTAGTTATGTATTCTGGTGCAATTCCCTATAGTATGTGCTATAAAAGTCATTACTTGTTCACGTTGTTTGAGGGTATTTCGAATAAGTTCCCTTTGTAGACAATAGCCACTTCGTAGAAATACTTATAGTAAATCATTATTATTATTTTGAATATGTTCTCGCTGCTTCCTTTGTCATTGAGTACGTAATTATTTTTACGAGGTCAACAATTGAAAACGGAGAAGCCGACAAGATCATCTCTTTCTTGGTATCCTCTTCGTCATAAAACATCAAGCCTAAGGAGATGAATAGTCAGAGTGCATCATTGTGATGATTAACTTTGATTATTTTACGAAAAATCGAGTTATTTTCTCCGAGTCCGGGTCAGACTAACAATCCGGAACCGAATCCGGGTTCCACAGTATGCCACGCTTAGCTAGTTCATATTTGATTTTCAAATTGAATATCATGCATGCGCTGCACGCCGTGCTTGTCAGTTGATCAGTTCTACCAGAGTGGTTCCGCAAATTGAATCGAAACACTATCGACGTCCATGCTCTGTCGTGGATTGAAATATTAAGCACACTTGTTAATAAAGAATAAACAGACATGGCAAACATTCGCTTCGGCCGGTTAGGAGAGACTGAAATACGGAAACCTTCCAAAGTACTCTTGGTTTTCTTCATTTTATTTATACTGCTGCTTATTCTATCAGCAACCTTCATTGCGCTGTATGTTATAGAGAAAACGAAATCTACAGAATCGCCAACTGGGACATGTAGTTCTCCTGCTTGTGTCACCAGTGCTGCAGGTATGTTAGGGATGGTTTCATTATCTTGCTTTTCGTGGACAAATTAGCATACAAAATATATTTCTTTTCTAACAATACAGCTAATTCAACTAGTTGTCATTCAAAGTATTGACCTCTAAGCGCGAAAAGCACGATGTAATGCATATACAGTATGTATAATTCATACTTATGAATCATTTTGGTTCGCGTAATTAAGAGTTTAACTGTATCATGTGGTGAGCTAGCCATAGAAGCAGATCATGCTATGCAAATTTTTAATGATTGCATTATTCAAACCTGTCTATTTTGTTTAAAATAGCATGACCAGTTGTCTTGTCTAGCCTCGCTATAGGTAAATAAACGATTTATAAGATACGAATTCCAGTGATATTCACCGATTTCGGATTTTATTTTCAATCACTTCTAATCCAATTCATCATCAACAGCAAACCCATCAGAATTCATTGGATTTTTGACTCGATCCGTCGGACCTTCAAAACACTTGACTACAAGCATAAATGCTATAGATATACTTATTAGCAAAATATAATAACTATGCATGCATAACCAATCTCAAACGGTCTGCGCCAGTGGTAGAGCCCTATTCAACTACCTGAAAAATGCAAGGGAGAATTCGACGTCGACATTTCGAGCAAACTATTCTCTTATTTGATATATTAATTGTAGCTAGGTAAAAAATTGGTCTTGGCATAACCTGCCTCATGATAATAAACCCTCTTGACCCTCCGAAGACAATGTTAAGAGGCAATTTTTTTCTATATCACGTATTTGCGATGAAAAGTGTTCAAAACCGAAAATCTTTTTGATGTACATCTAAAAATTGCTTTGTTTTAGCTTTATTCTCTAGTTTATACAGTTAGCTACCTTTTTCAATGCATTTGCCGGTTGAGAAACATAAAATAATATATCTTATTGGATTCTTCTGAGCCTAATATTGAAGTCTCGACTTAATATTTTGCCATATTGGGCGAAGATGAATCCAATAGGAGTTTTATTATATCGAACAAAACAATTCAATAAAAAAATTATCAATAAGCCATAAAGTAAATACAGCTAGACTAATACAGCGACAACATTGCTACATATATCGGCGGCGAATTTGCTTAAATAGCTAAAAAAAAGTTAATAAACCTGTTTTTACAAATATGTGTGTATAAATAAACTCAATTCCATGTATCTGTTTAAAGGAAATTTGACCTAATTTTAACGAAAAAAATAATATTACTAACTTCTAGGCTGTTGCAAACAAATAAATTTAGCGAAGACAAGTTTTCCCGCGCTTTTATAATTTTAAACAAAACTGGTAGAAAAAACTGTATTAATGTCCCAAATTCTTTTCATTATTCTGCCATATCGTTTGTCGTATGTTTGAAATTGACAAAACATCTGAAAAGGGTTGAAAAACCATGAAAAAAGCCACAATTCGCAACTGTCCAATAGGTTCCTGTCCAATATCGTAAAATATTGGATCGGCACGTGACCCTCTCAATGATTACTGAATGGTTAAGTGCGCGTGAGTGTATAATAATAGCAAAAACATGTCAATTAATATACAATTATCAATGACGCTTTAAAAGTGACGCCTATTCACGGCAATATAAGCCAAACTTGCTGAATTTCAGAAATCATTTTCTCTTTGGCGTACTATCTAAAATCTCTTCATTTTGGCATTATTTTACAGATAAAGGAATAAACATACGTTTAAAGTTTGTTTGCCGATTGAGAAACGTATCGAAAAATAAAAATTTAGGATGTATAGTCATAACAGCAAGTGGTAGTGAGTGTTTTGAGTGCGTGTTACGTGACATACAAAAAAATCTCCTCTTAATTGAATTAGCTGTATTTATTTTCGATACATTGTTCGCCAAGACTATAGGGAAGATTTGAGCATACGTTTAGGCCATATAACATTTTATGATGTCAACTATGACTTCTTCTGAGCCAGCAAGTCTTCAAGTTTTAGTCAGTGAATCTGATCTGACGGGTGGACTTAGAAACCGCACGATATTTCAACATAATGATTCCTGTTGATCAAATTCTTCATCCTTAATTGAATCAGAGAAATAAAATATTTGACTACATTTTCTGCTGTATTCTTCTTGCAAATCAGCTGAAAAGTTATTTTGGTCAAGGTTTGGACAGCGCGCGATGAGGGTGAATTGCAATTATAATATGTAACATTAACCTTTTGTCAATTACATCTTGTTTATTTCGAAATTTGCTTTTGAAATTAGTGTAGTATCATAGACAGTTTCAGATGTTTTAAATTTTTTTGGAAGCAGCTTTGAGAACGAAATTTACCATAAAATTGTTCATGTATTTAAAAGCGCGGGCTCATAAAACATGTCAAGTATAAATTGATGGGAAAAACTACTCGTTTGTGGTACACACGAGCAAATAAACTCGTCCAGAAACTTGTGAAGAAAAACTTGCTCGTCTGTGCTGGGTTATGTAAGGGAAGTATAATCAAAATACAATGTACTGTACAACTTTTTATGAGTTGATTAATGCCCGGATCTTGTCTAAGGTCCTGCGGGTTGGCAAATAAATAAAAGTCAAATAAATAAAAATTATAATTAATTGCGACTACGTACGATAAGCCTCTGAATCTAGTACATGCAATTTGAAGTTAATGAAACAGATTTCAATTTGTGATTCTGTTCCTGTGATTAGAAATTAAATCTTAACATTAATATTATGGCAAAAATACATTATATCAAGGCGACCAGGCCTAGCCGAATTGCCCGATTTTTAAAGTAAATCTGCCCGATTATCCCCTACCCTTGTGCAAATGTGGATCGATAATGAGACGAATATTCAAGTTACAAACTCTCAAACTAATAATTTTATCTTTTGTGATTTGTGTGGACAACATTCGTTCCCATCTCTGCCTTGGAAACGTCCTACAGTCGCGCCCCTCGCGACACCTTTTGAATTTGTACAAACACATTTTAAAATCATTATAAAATCCAGACATTTCAACAAATAGCCTAATACGATAAAATACAAAACTTTAAATAATACTACCGTTAATTTTAAAATATTATTTCCAAAGAATATTATTTAAGCCATAGTTATATATTATGAGATAACATCCTCCTTTATCACGTGGCATGAGCCTGCTGGTAAATTTAATCATTGCCTTACGGAACTGTGTTTACAATAGCCATCTTAAACAACCTTGATGAATCCATCAATCCATGCGATGATTTCTATCAGTACAGTTGTGGAGGATTCTTAAAAAAGACTCATCTACCAGACGGCCAAGATCAAATAGGTGGAGATACTCTATCACAAGAGTCTATTCAGAACGCCCTCAAAGAGATATTTGAGAATGAAGAATTGTTGTCAAATTACTCCAAGGTAACGATCTCTCTACTGTATCTATTTCAACTTGGTTTGATTTGTTTGTTTGTTTGTTTGTTTGTTTGTTTGTTTGTTTGTTTGTTTGTTTGTTCAATGTTTTTGATCGTATGTTTTTGTTTATGCATTTGTGAATTGTGTGTTTGCTTCTTTGTTTGTTTTTTATTTGTGTTTTATTTGTTTGTTTGTTTGTTTGTGTTCTTATTTATTTATTTGTTTGTTTGTGTTTTTATTTGTGTGTGTGTGTGTGTGTGCGTGTGTGTGTGTGTGTGTGTCTGTCTGTCTGTCTGTTTGTGTTTTTTTGTTTTCGTTTGTTGATACTCTGTTTGCTTGTTTGTTTTTGTTTGTTTGTTTTTGTGTGTTTTTTTTCTGTTTGTGTGATTGTTCGTTTGTTTGTTTGTTTGTTCGTTTGTTTCTTCTGGTTTTGTTTTTTCCTGTTTGTGTTTTGTTTGTGTTTTGTTTGTGTCTTTATTTGTTATTGTTTTCACTTGGCATAAGTCATGGGATAAGATTTAACAAATAGATAAGATTTTGCCGTTGTATGTTCAGTTATTGATACACAGTATGACGTCAAAATGTTGGAAAAACCTAAAAGTGGCGCGAGCCGCAGAGGCGAGTGGATAACTTTTTTGTACTTCCCACATTATGACGTCATACTGGGTATCCATAACTGAACAGACAACGGAAAAATCTTATCTATTTGTTTGATATAATAAAAAGAAAAACTCCGAATTAAACAGGTAGCTAAATAGCTTACTTTTTATCCACCTAAACATTTGGAAATTTGAAAAAGCCGAAATTTTACAAATATCACGCGTACATGATCTATACAAATAAGGGAATGCCATTGGCTACCTTAAGTATGTCACGTGTGACGTAATTCCGTGCGTCCTCTAATATAGCTCTAGATCAACGAAAGCGTTTGAATTCTTAACGTTATTATATAAAAAAGTATATTTTGGTTGAGCTTGTATTTATAATAAACACAGAAATTTGCACCAATAAGCACGTCTAGGGGTTGGGAAATGTTTTGTTCATACGCGTGAGACCGCAAAAATGTGATTTGAAAATGTACTTACAAAAAGTGAAATCAAGACCCGATGGTCTATTAATTTCTATAATTGACTAACTCGGCTCAGTTCTTCATGACTTCATACATTTTCTCCAATCATAAATTAACTACAATCGATAATAATGACTAAAGATCTTAGTCTATGACTGGGAATCATGTCGATCAGTGAATTTAGACAATTCAACTGGTTGTAGCTGGATTTTCATATTATTAAGAATAATACCCAGAAATGTAATTGATGTATACTCTCAAAAGGCCAAATTAAAAAAAATTTTAATGGCCTAGTGGTCGCAAGAGATGTTGATATAGAATTCATGGTAAAATGAAAAATAAATCAGTATACCTACAACAAAAATTACGAAAAAATAATATCTATTTTTTATCTTTTGTTTTTAAAAGTTTTACAAAATGTGCATTCAAAAACTTGTTGCGCTCCCAACTTTTTAACCAACCCGGTCTATAAGGACCTCTAGACCTAGAGAAAGTAGTTATAAATAGGTTAGTTTAGTTTCACTAATATAATAAGCTAACTTTTGTCTCCTTGCACATTATAAGCCTGTTTTGAATAAAATATTTGTTATATAAAAATAATCAAATTATGCCTTTCTCCCAATAGGATGCGAATTCAGCGGTCTATAAAGCTTACATCTACTACAAGTCTTGCATAAATGAGAGCTATGTTAGGGATGCTGGGATTAAACCAATTCTTCATGTAATAAACAATATGGAACAATATGGCTCCTGGAGTATCACTAACAAGAACTGGAGTGAACATTCGTGGATACTCGAAAAGGTTTTAGCGAGGGTGGCTGTCGATCTGAAAATTAATGCTTTTCTGTCTTTCGATGTTCAAAATGATCCTTTCAACAGATCCAAACCGGTTCTTGTGACGGTAAGTGAAATACAAATTATTGAAAACACTGAAAGTGAAACAGTTGTTTTTAATTTCTATCAATATTGAAGGTTAATGTAAAATTGCAAAAGTTGTATTAATATTTGATAAAGTGCGGACTGCATGCGAGTGTTAGCTAAATTAAATGACTTAAAAACGTCCAATCTCATGAATTTATTGGAGAAGCAATTTTAAGAATAAACGAGCCGAGAAAATTAAAACTGAAGTTGATGTAAATGCATGATCATAACTTTTTATCACATATATAACCACCGACATCACAAGGCAATAATTTCCTTTGTCTTTTCTTCAAGAATTCGCACAATAATGAGTTTTTAAAATTTATATTGATGTTGGCAACTCTGCAACATTATTGGCAAAAATATAATGGCAGTTAACAAAAACTGCAGCCACCAAACAACAAGTTATTTTCTTTTAAGGCCTTATTAGAAGATAACATACAACGAAAACACTCCCAGAAATTGTTTACGACTTAGAAAGCAGATTTATAATTTTAAAAAAGGTTAAATGCAAGTTTAAAAAATTGTGCCAAGAGAACGGCAAACACACGAACAGAATGTATATAAAGAAAATATATTTGTAATCATCAAGCACTTGCTTTACCTGAAAACCTATATAAAAATATCTTAAATTAAACAAGTCTGAGTGATGTCTCAGTTTTTTTAGTTCTGCATAAATTCTTAAACATAAGTTTGAAGGATTTTATAAATTTTGACTTTGACGAGACTGCTGTCATTGTTTCTATTTTACCCGCTGTGATGTCACAGATGTACTGGTCAACGGGGCCATAGTTAATAGAATAGATGGTTTGGAAACTCATTAGAATAAAATATAACTCATTATCTATGTTAGTCAACGTTTATTCATAAATCTGGTCGTTCACCGTCACGTGCATATTGTATTTTTGCCCAACTAACCAATAGCAATGTCTTAGGAAAGTTACCTATCCGTGACTCGAACATTGGGTAAATTGGAAATTGCTATAATTCCTGGATTTGGCAAAAATACAATAAACACGGGACGGCGAAGGACCACATTTATGAATAAACGTTGACTAACATAGATAATGAGTTATATTGTTATGCTAATGAGTTTCCAATTATCTATTCTAATACAATTATATTAATTATGATGGGGCACCACAGCACGCGACATATGAATTTGCTCTCAATTTCGCAAAACAGTTATTAGCATCATGTTTTTTTTATGTATACAGCTCCTTTGGGTACTTATAATGTGGAATAACGAAAAAAAAATTCACGAACTCAAATTATAGTTGTTAATCTTTTCCAACAAACTAAAAATGGCTTACACACAAAATTTAAAAGCTTTAATCATATTTCAAACAATTTGCTTTAGTTTAAGCCTTTAACTATTCAATTTGCTTTAGTTTAAAGGGCTTAAACTAAAGCAAATTGTCTGAAAGTTTGTACAATAATTAAAATCTCAACAGATTTTCCATCTATTAACTCAAAACATGATCAAAGCTTTTACATTTTGCGCGCAAGCCATTTTTATTTTGTTGGAAAAGACACACTCCTGGTTCACAAAATTTGAGTTCGAGAAATTCTTTCCATTATTCTACAGTATAAGTACCCAAAGAAGCCATAATTATATATATCAAAAACTGAATACTAATAGTTGTTTCGCAAAATTGAGAGCAATTTCAAATCTGTTCAGTTTTTTTAATACAACCTGTATAGGTAGCTATACCTGATCTGATAAAGATTAATTCACTAGCAAAAATTATGAGTAAATGTAATCATAAATTTGAGTTATATTACTCAATATTTTGAGTCACTGTGGGTGGATTATTTTACTCAGCTTTTCAGTCACAAAAAATGTTTTGCAGTATGAAGAGTTTAGCTGGATCCATGCTTGCATTTTATTCTGTTTCTGCATTATAATTATGTTCTAGATTTCTGGAGGTTCTTCTCCCAGCCATCTGACTAAAAAGGGTAAAAAAGCAATGCATAATGAAGAGGTAAGTCTCGGTTTGAAGTCCTTGATCTATTATAATGTATCGTTGAGTCAAGAACAAATTGATCAAATTTTGGTTAAATTGTGATGCAAATTGAATGCAAAATTAGCGAACATTTGTCTTGTTCATCCAGGGAGAGTAAATCGAATGCCTAATTATCCCATTGTATATTCCATATAGTGATAAGTCTAATTTCAAAATTCGTCTCGTTTAATTCATATATTGAATTTTATGGACTAATTTTATTTTGCAGAGTTTTGATCTAGATTTCGACAATAATTACAAAATATTTATGTCAACTGTATTTAAATTGCTTGGAGCTAATTCGACAGTCAACAACACAATAGTTGATGAAGTGGAAAGAATTAGTAAATTGGAAAATGATTTTTATATGGTCAGTAATCGTTCTTATTTTCATTCTCAATCTTATGTCTATAGATGTGATATACATGGCGCATGTACATCAGTATGTATATTATTCTTAGTTCAAGAAGACAATAGTTTAGGTTTTCCGGTTTGCATGCTCCATCAGAACAGAACAGAACAGTATAGAATTATAATAAAACTATTTATTATACGATTGATGTAATTTCCAATTTTGTACGGTTTATGCGTAAAATACTATTAATTAAGAAGACTAATTATTTCGGGTTAATTACCCTGCCCGAATATGCGACTTTGCCATATATGCCTAATTTTAAAATACACACTTAATGTTTGCTCCCGAGGGAAGTAGTTAGTTTTGTTTTCCCGAGAGTCTCAATGTTTCCCGAGACGAAGTCGAGGGAAACATTGAGATTCGAGGGAAAACAAAACTAACTATTTCCCGAGGGAACAGACATTAAGTGTTTTGTTATATAGCGACGAACAAAAATCAATTTCTGACAACAACATTCATATACAACAATTGTTTTTCGTGGCAAAAACTCTATAGAGTAAACGAGTTTAAAATCAAAGAACCTACTTAAAGGGTTTCGGCAGTATATCCTGTTTCCTGTTCTGTATTTTTCTTCCCTTTTACATTCTTTATTTGAACACAAACTTGGAAAATCGTAGTTTGTAATTATCGTAGTTGTACCGCCATTTTGTTTATTTATGTACGTGGCCGGTCGGGGCGGGCAACAATTTTTCACTTGTTGCCCGGCGGGAAACATTGCATTTATCTGAAGTCACGTGACCACAAATCAGCCAATCACGTTTGGTGTTCACGCTAGCTATATAACAATGGATGTTATCTAAAGTCAGATGTCGCACTGATGAATGATTTTGTACTACATTTTGCAGTTAAAGGAGGATTTGATAGCCGAGCCAAGTCAATATCACAAGTTCGTGAAATTTATGACTCTTCAAGAGTTGCATAATTTCACATCGTTTAAGGTATGCTTGCATGGATATAACTTTATGTTTACCTTTGCCGTTATATTAGTACGGGAATTTTTAATCTTAAATTTATTATTAACTTGTCATTTTTTTTTTTTGGCGGGGGGCTATAATATTTCATGTCACCCTTTGAAGTATGGGGGACATACAAGAAAAACGATTTCAACAATTGGGACAAGTTACCAATTGAAAAAGTCCATCTTAAGTTCTGTAAAATATACCTCGCTGTAAATAGGAAAGCAAGTAACATTGCTTCCAGAGCTAGGCTTGGAAAACTCCCTCTTATTACCTCCGCCAGGAGGTTATGTAATCATCCGGGTTTGTATGTGTGTGTGTGTGTGTGTGTGTGTGTGTATGTATGTGTGTGTATGTGTGTGTGTTTGTCTGTGAGCACGATAACTCAAGAAATACCATACATATTCATACGAAATTTTTTGAATGCATTTCCCATCGGCTAAGGAAGAACTAATTAAAATTTGGTTGAATTTGGTTAAAAATTGAAGAGAAATGAACACAATTTTGTCTTGCTTTTCCCGGTCAATTAAAAAAAAAACTCACTGAATGCGTAATTAGGATGTGTATAATGTATGCACGCAGTACTAAGAAGACAATAGACACTTAAGATTGACGTTTACGGCAAACGTCAAACCGCTAGCGAAGTTTTTGATTTTACAACTCAATTATAATAGCTTTTACACCAGTTTTGAAATATGTTGAACTTATTAAACTTGTGCTCTTTAGGAATGATTTAAGAAAGCAAATTAACCACTAGTCGTGTATTCACCAAAGCAGTAAAATAAGATCTGCCGTTTGAAGTTCACGTTTGGCGTATAAATTTCATACTTGAACTGCTATGAGGGCTTGTAGTCGTTCAAGCATGAAATTTATACGCCAAACGTAAACTTCAAACGCCAAATCTTAATTTACTGCTTTGGTGAATACATTATTAGTGGTTCATTTGCTTTCTTAAATCATTGGTAAATACCACAAGTTTAATAATTGTTTAATATATTTCAAAATTGGTGTAAAAGCTATTATAATAGAGTTGTAAAATCAAAAACTTTGTTAGCGGTTTGACGTTTGCCGTAAACGTCAATCTTAAGGTGTCTAATAACGAGATTATAAACCTCATTAAGCTTCAGCCTTCATTATCTATTGTCTTAGTTGCATTTCACGCGACCGAAATTCAATGGGGGCGGAGGTATGCAGTCTCTGAGTGCCCTCTGGTTATCAATGTATTCAAAAGGGTCTTCAAATACATCACTAACTTAAACTCACTTCCCAAAACAGCCATTGCAAAGCAAGCCTTTCTAATCTGGAAAGATCTCTACTCTAGGTTGAAAACTTCCATTTATACAGAAATGCAATGGATACAATCAAAAATTTAAATCTAAATGAAGAAATCCCTAATCTGGAAGCCGTAACGTCTTAACATATTGAAGCTATTAATTACCAAAATTCTTGAGGAAAAATACTTGACATTCTGGAAACATAAACTTGGAAATTCATCCAAATTAACTTTCTATTCAACATTCAAAACGGACCATAACCTCGAAAAATACTTAGTAATTATAAAAGACCCATACAGTGCAAGAGAAAATGCCTTTCACGTTTTAGAGTTAGCAGGTAGCAGCCAGAACTTCCAAATTGAGATCGGGCGATACCAAAATATACCCCAAGAAGAACGCTTATGTGAAATCTCTAATTCAGAAAAGGTGGAAAACGAAACCCATTTTCTACTCTTTTGCAAAGCCTATGAGCATTCTCGTGAAGACCTCCGAAGTTCTTTTGAGAATGCCTCATCTAACGAGTTTCAACTGAATTCCCAAACTCTATCAGGTGACATAATGAAGTCAACTGATAGTGAAATCATAACTAAACTGTCAAAATTTGTTTACTCATGTTTTGAACAAAGGCTTAAATACCTTGAAACCAGGAGTGCAATTAGCAGAGGTTGTAATAACCACCTTATTTGTAAATATTATACTTGTCTACATTATTTCTTCTTAGTTCTTAGTTCTTAGATCTTATTAACGTTAATGTTATGTTAGTCTATTAAGTTGATAATTGCACATGTACTAATTTGTAAATTGTATAATCCTAGTTTACCATAGTTCTCTATATATTGTTATAACTTTTAGTATAGGTAATAGCATGGTTTCGAGTGCAATTTGGATATAACATGCACGAGTGAGTTTTTCAAAGACCTCAAAATAGCACGAGTCCGAAGGACGAGTGCTATTTGAGGTCTTTGAAAAACTCACGAGTGTATGTTTATCCAAATTTCACGAGAAACCATGCTATTACTTATTAATAATTTACATAAAAATGTTCGAGACAATCGTAGTTTTAACGTTTTTTCGTGGCTTTGTTATATCACATTATACAACGCTAACAGCTTGAAAATTCCACTCAACTATGTAATTTTTGTTAGTCTTGTTTAATTTAAGGTAAATGCTTTTCCATTTAAAAATAAAGATAAAAGCCATACTTTCCACGCGAAGGCAACTTTTACTTTGTGTAGCGCGGCGCCATGTTTGTTTTGTTTTGAAGCAATCTATGACCGTTACTTCTTTAAACTAAATTTCTTTAAACTGATTGGTTGATTTAATCATCACAATGTTTTCTCACCCATCAGATCAGTTTGTTACAGATTTTTGCACTGTGATTACAGAAAATTGCACTGTGATTACAAAAAATTGCACTGTGATTACTGAAAATTGCACTGTGATTACAGAAAATTGCACTGCTGTTTGGGATTAACTGCACTGAAATCAACCAATCACAGTCGAGTAATATCTTTATGTATATTATTATATGCTTTAGCAATACCGTAAATTTATATAGTCATGCTAATAAAGCTATTATTTACTGTACCATTACCACCCTAATTTATAATACCATACTATATATATGGATACCATATGAGTATATGGAATACCATAATTATCACTTATTTACTGAGACCGAGGGAAACAGTGTGTTTTGTGGACCCGAAACCGCCGGTCGAGGGGTCACAAAACACACTGCTTTCCCGAGGTCTCAGTAAATAAGTGTTTTGTTATATAGTGTATTAGTGTATAAGTGTCAAATTAGGAATAATTCACCGGTTATTGGAGTGAACTTAATTTGAAACCAAATCTGGATAAATGGAACGCCGTAAATGTTTAGTAAAAAGTTTAAAAAATAGGTACGCTACGCGTACATGAATCTACGAATAGCAATAAATCGTTGCCCCACTCTACCCTGTAGTCAATTGACAATTTCAAAAGTGAATGGCCGACAAGTACGAGCTAGTCTAGAATATAATCAGAAAATAATATATGCGTGCCTAAACAGGTCATTGACATACCAGTAATTTGCGCTAACTTTCAGACTTAAAATATTTACAATTCTAATTGTAGGACGATATTTAGTTGAACACTTATTATAAACAAATCCATGGTACTATGGTAGTAAAAACCCACAGTAACTGTGTCTTATGCGTGCACAATCCGAACGCGTTTTTCGCGTGACGAATTCGTACACACCATAATAATAGAGACTCCTGCTCACCAGAACCAATATAAGGCTAATGCTCCTGCCGTGAAACAAGATATTATGAAACACATCAATACACAATTGACTAACAAAGTATTTTCAATTGTTCGTAAATGATATGTTGAAACAGAGACAGAATAAGCTGATATATAGTTAAACGTGAACAAGAATCACGTATAAATACATCACTGTTGCACTTTTATTGTGTCTACATTGAGTGAAATAATATTCGACATGAGCGCAGACTTCATATCGGGTCGTATTACATTTCGGAATTGTAACAACAACATGTTGGAGAATTACGTTCTAAACAATAAACATTGGCACTCAACGAAAGTGTGCGGTGAGCCGTTAATATACGCTGTGCATTTATGTACTTTAAAACATAATTTTTTCATATGGGAAACTAAGCTGGAGTAAGAAATCGGCGCTTCATGATACAGACTTCATAGAACACGCAATCAGCTTTATTTATCAAAGTTCAGAGGTCGGCTGTCGCAAAACGTTTGTTTGTATATTTAAACCATTTAATGCATGGGTCAATTTTACTCGAAACCTTAGTGGCTTACTTCTTCGCTGGTTGCTATACTTTAAAATAATTCTGTAGCTCATATTTTACCAAATGTCGCCTTCATTCGAGCGCCAAAACGGATTCAAATGCTGAGTGTTAAGTGTCCAGATGACTTCAAATAGGAAACACAGACGCTTCAAAAATCAATACGTACTATTTCGTAAATTGCTGAAAAGTGTACAGCAATCATGCTGCTACAAAACACAGACACGTAGTTCTTGATTCGCTCCATTTTCATCCACAAGTCGTGATATTTCAATGCGTGAATAAATATAAATCATAAATTATAACCCCTCTTTACCGCCATATTGGATTGTCTCGCGACCAAGCCGTGATTTGTAATTACGTAATTTTTGGTAATACTGGTCACTGATTGGCTAAGTTAACACTGAACAGTGAACAGTGAACAGTGAACAGTGAACAGCTAACAAATCGATAGCATATAATCTACTTCGTAGATTCAAAAAATGAACTTTGGAACTTCATGGTTGACACGCATGCGTATTTTGCACATTTTATTATTGACCGGTTATATCGATTGCCGAACATGACGTTTTGTGGACCGCACGTGACACGGTTTTGACCAATCGGCAAACAGAAAAATTGAACTTTGACAGTATAAGTTACCATACCAATTACCAATCACCAGGCATGTCATATATACCATGCCACACATATACTACACAGGGTGTCCCAAAAAAATCCACAAAACCGTTGAGATAACGTATTGTTAAAATTTGAATGCCCTAGCTGGCACTAAGCTGAACGCAAAGCGTAAAATATTGACAAGGGTGCATACATTAAATATTGACTTATTAAGAATTTAAAATATCTTTGTAAAGCGCACGATTTTCTGCTCTTGGAAATTTAAAACAGTTTCTTAAACGGTTTCTTTATGCATAAAATTTACCTACGTCAGGCTTTGATGCACGTGTAGGTTCAGCAGAGTGCTGAGACATTCAAATTCTAACGATACATTTATTTCAATAGTTTTTGTTTTTTGGGGGGACACCCTGTTCATCACACCATGCACTGTCTGGTATGTTTCATTTGCATTCCCATTGTAGACTAATTTTAAAACTAAGCAAGTAGATGCAAATAAATCACGACAGCTAGGAAGAGCATACTAAAATTAGTGAATTTGCAAAGTTTGGTTGCGAAATGTTGTTATAAAATGCGAAAAATACATCATAAGCTCCGCCTTTGAATTTACTATACGAGTAAATTCTTGAACACGTCCGAATTTATCATTATGATAAATTCGCGACACATTTTGAATTTATCATAATAATAAATTCGCGGCACCTAACACTAACCCTAACCCCAACCCCTAACCCCTAACCACTAACCCTAACCCTAACCTCTAACCACTAACCCTAATTTTTTTAACTTTTCAAACTTTTTCGAAAATCTTACTTTTTAAACTTTTTTTGCTTTTTAAAAAAAACTCTTTTAAAACTTTTTTGAAAACCATATTTTTGAAAATCTTGAAAATCGTCATACCATCCCATACAATGATATAACATACTCTGCCGTATAGTTTCCTACCATTCCTTGCCATAATATCTTACCAAAACTCAAAGTCTTTTTCCACTCATATATATCCCACATCAATCCATTCTTACTTCGGTTTATCTCTTAGTTTAACTGGACTATGTATTTGCAAGAGTTATTTCGTGGTACAGGCAAGTCGATTGGCCCAGCCGACACTCTAATGATAGTACTACCCAATAACATAAAAAAAATTGTTGACTTTATGTCTAAAAAACCTAACAGGTGCGTATTGTTACTCTTTATTA